GTGTATAAATGTTGTGTATTACCTTGTATAGGAAGGTAATGCTTATCTCTAAGGAGAGGGTAAGCGGCAAAAGCATAAAAAGACGCCACACCACTTGTGATCAACACCATCCTTCTAATCCCAACCTCTTCCGCTGCAACCTCCGAGGTCCTACCCCACACAACGTCGGAGACCAAACAACACTCCGTCTCTCCACCGCCTACTTCCGCCGCCAAAGACTCTCGAAACGGGTCCGCGTAGCTTTGTCTCAGCTGACGAATGAAGGTAACAAGGTCCATACCTGAAGCATCAGGTTTAGATAGAGGGTCTTCTTGTTCTTCGTTGTGGTGATATATGGTTCGGAAAGTGAAGTTTGGGTAGTAAGAAGGGTCGGGGAAGTTGAAAGAGGTGTGAAGGATGGTGATTGAGAAGCCATGGTGGTGGAGTATTCTGGCGATTTGGATCATTGGGTGGAAGTGTCCTTGGAAAGGTAAAGGGAACATGATTATTCTCCTTTCTTTTCTCTCTTCCATTATTATTTTTGCTTGTTATTGGAGTGTTTAGGGTATTTTGGTTTGTTATTTGTGTGGTTTTAAACTTCTAGTGCGCCGCCGAGAACCACTTGGGCAAGTTGGTGTGCTACTTTCGTAAGCTATCCGAACACCACTCGAACTTTTGATAGTGGGATCACATGGGGCAGTGGGCCCCGACCAAAAATATAATAGATGATAATGTATATATGGTTATACAAAATAAGACAATATTCTTTACTAAATTATTGTACTAAATGTTATTATAGACAATATTAATACATAAAATAAATATAACATTTTCTATATTTAGGTTAACAGATGTTTAGAAACATATATTAGGAATGATTTTATTTATATTTTTAAGTTTTTTACTTTTAAAAGTAAAAAATAACAAACATATTCGAGGTTGTTTAAGGTTGGAACATAATTATAGATTTTTTTCTCGCTGAAAAGTTCTATTATACCTTAACTAGAACATATGCAGAAAAAGAACATAAAGCCATCGTATAAAAGAAACTCTCGGAACCAAAGCCAGCGGATTACATGCAATCCTCAAAACCATAAGCCGACTAGAAACAGACATCCCCGGACACTAAACAAAANAGGTTGTTTAAGGTTGGAACATAATTATAGATTTTTTTCTCGCTGAAAAGTTCTATTATACCTTAACTAGAACATATGCAGAAAAAGAACATAAAGCCATCGTATAAAAGAAACTCTCGGAACCAAAGCCAGCGGATTACATGCAATCCTCAAAACCATAAGCCGACTAGAAACAGACATCCCCGGACACTAAACAAAAACCACACCACCTAAAAACCTAAGCTTATAAGTACCGGAAGAGAGGAGGTAACTTTAACGAACTTTTTCATGGTTTTAAGTCTTCTCATCCCTAAATGGCTAAATGCAATATTCATTTTTCAAAAGGATGAACGATCATATACAACTCAAACAACTAAATTTATTATTCTAAGAGAAAGGATTATAAACATAAGTTACAAAAGTTTGATGAGTGCCTCACACGTTTTCTTTACTCTCTTCTCTATATGCCAATTCCATATCCTCCTCAGAATTATGCAATACTTCTTTCCAACAAATATATAGCAAACCGTTCTCAAATACAACTCTTTTGAGATGGATCTTCTCTCCACTCTACTTTTATTAATCCCTTAAGGGTCTTGATAAATGAAGGAGAGATCTCAAGTCTATCAGACTTAAAGATTTCAAACTTTCATAGTCGATTAGTAAATGTAGGAAAAAGTACTTCCAGATGCAATCTTTTTCCATTATTACTATGATTCACTACAAACTTAGCTTGACTTATTCAAACAAACCAACAAAACAAAAATTACAGAGCGTTTATTGCAACCCCATAGATTCCAAAAAGTGCTGAGAAGACCCTAAAGTACTCTCAACACACCCTCCATGTTGCACTGCACTGCAACTACTACTACAAACACAAAACCTTCACCCAAGGAAGAGCAGCTGAAAATTCCTCCCAAGGCCACCAAAAAATAGTTCTTATGAAACCCTAATTTGGTTATTCCCCTAATCAACAATATAAATGAAGTAATAACTAATAAATATCATCAACCCAATTCACCCCCACACAATTCTTCTTCACTATAACCAGACACCATCACAATCTTGACAATAAGTCTAACCCACTAACTACGACCATCTCTGTTTTCTTCCAACTCCTGAATACTACAGTACATCCATTCTTGTTGAACATGTCTCTCTTCCTTCAGACAGCCACCGTTACTGCAGCTTTGGGAACTGAGTTTCGGAATTGAGGTTGGGAATGTTTGAATTAGTACTAAGACGAGCTTGCGAACGTGAGTTACACCGACCAGAAAATGTTTCAGGTCTAAGAGGTTGTGTCTGAACAACCTTCGTCTGAAGCTTAACACATCCACCACCTGAAACCAATTATTTATTTTAGATTCTAATAAGAAGCACAAGACTTCAATCCATGGAGAAGTTCGTTAAAGCTACCTCCTTTCTTCCGGCCATCTGAAGGGTTTCTGTGATTCATGGGGAGGAAAACGCCGGTACCAACAGACGGTGGTTTAACGGCGGTTGGGGCGGTGAAAAAGCCGGTACCAACAGACGGTTGTTTCACGGCGGTTGGGACGGGGAAAACGCCTCTAACAGGACAAGGAAACGCGTTCAAAGCGGGCTGCTGTAGGCACCAGTAGTAGCTACCAAACGCAGCGTTTTGAGGGTAGGGGACGACGAAAGGATTAGGGTTTGTGCGGCTACTGGGTTTTGAATCAAGATTCGCCCTTTTGATCTTGGCGACTTCTCCAGCTGCAGCAGATATGACTTTCAAAGAGTCCTCTTCAAGAGACGGAGACTCCGGCCTTGAAGGGGCTAGCGAGAACGGACCGCTGGGACTTTTGTTTCCAGAGGTTGTCAAGCTCCCGAGTCCACTCCGAGTTGACTCAGTCGAGTTCACCTAAAGAAGAGAGATTAATTAGTTTGCATTAGGAGGTAACATTTGAAAAGAGTGAAGCTTTCAAACAAACCTTGACGAAGGGAGGAGGAGGAGAAGGGAGGCGCTGAGTAGAGAGGGCGAGTCGACGAGTTAACCCGGCAAAGAAGTCATCTTCGTCGTCGCTTGTCTCATCTTCCGTCTCCGTTGAGTCTCCTTGGGAGGTGAAAGAGTCGAATTCGTAAGGGAACTCGTTAGGGAATCCGAGTTGACTCAGGGTTGATTCGGAGACAAGGGCTTTCTCCATTGGTTCAAGGACAGAGGACTCGGTGGCGAGTGGCGGCGCGAACATAACGACAGTGAGTAAACAGAGGGAGAGGTATTGACTCCAGAGAGGGTTCTCTGTTTATAAAGTAAAGAGGGTTTAATGAGACAGCTGTTAGAACATTATTATAATATTTGCTTCTGTAACTTTATTTTATTATTCTGTAATTTAATTGGTTTGACCAACAAAATATAAACTCAAATGAGGAAACGAGAAATCACATGGGCTAGTGGTCACACACTATGGTGGGATTTCCATTATAATCATGTCGGTGCTTTGAATCTATATGCGACCGAAAACAAGGTTCTCGTCGGCGATCGCACAAAATCATTTTTATATTACTTTACTACTTATGTATGAAACATTCCAAAACTTATATTTTAGAAATCCCCTATACATTATTTGTGAAGTGATTTTGCCACATGTCCTCTCTATAATCAGTTTCACAAAAAAATAATGATATGTCTATTAGAATTGATGACATGGCATATGATTAAATATGACATCAATTACATTTAATGTTAGTATATATTTTTGGAAAACTTTATAGAATATGTTAACAACTCATATATTACATTTAATATTGGTTTATATTTTTAGAAATATTTTTAAAATATGGTAATAACTAATAAATCATCATTAAAATAAGTATATACCAATATGGCATTAAAAATTTCGCAAATATCATTTAATTATATATTTTAAAACTATACAATTTGATTACAAAAATTTCAAAAATGTATACATTTTTTGAAAATTATTAAAATTTAATCCTAAAATTATTAATTTCTTATATATTTAAAAATTTAATAAATATTGTCGAATTTTAATTTTTGATAATTATAAAATTTTCTACAAATTTATTTAATATATTTAATTAAAATAAATAGATAAAAGAATTTATCTAAGATTATAATTTTAAATATTTACAAGCATATTCTTAAATATAATTTAAAATAAACAAAAATACTTTTATATTACTTTTTATGTTTGATTAAACAAAAATTTGTATTAAAATAGTGATAAGAAAAAGAACTCATAAGTTATCATTAAGATAATAAATAATATAATAGTAGAAATATAAATATAATAATATTACAAATATTGAAATATTTTTAAGTGTATTTTTTAATTATATATTTTTATTAATAAATTTTTTTTTTCAAAATTTTATGCAGTATTTTTTAAAATTAAAATTTTCTAATCCCAATACCATTAGCTTTATTTATAACATCTATAAATTTTAGAAATATTATTTAGTTTTATATTTTGATAATTATATATCTAACAAAATTTTCTCTTAATAGTATAGAATCTGATTTAATATAATTTAACCAAAAGATAAAATATACATATATATTATTAAATATAAATTTAAGAAAAAAATTTAAGATAGACCTAAAAAAAAAGTTTTAATCACAAATATAGACCTTAAAATAAAAATGACCTAGATATACTTAAATGTTTAATCACAAATATAGACCTTAAAATAAAAATGACCAAGATATACTTAAATGTTTTATCAAAAAATAAACTTTTTTTGTTTAAAGTTGAGGAGTGGGATTTTGGGGATAGCATTACAAATTTTTTTAAAAATAAAATTGAAATTTTCAAAATAAAAAATACTGTTTTGGTTATTTTAGTTTTAAGATCTATTTTTGTGAAAAAACCTAAAAAAAATTCTATTTGAGAGAACTGTCGTTTATTTAAATAAAACTTTTTATTTTCTCTTAATTTTTACATATAATTAATGTAAATTTAATAATGTAATAAAATAATAAATTTAAAAATTAATTAAATTTTATTTTTAAATATAAATTTATTTTTTAAACTTTCCTTTCTGCACATGGTGACAGGTTATTCACACTATAATTTTATTGTTCATACTACACAGTAAGACCGTCTGTCCCTTACGTTTAAGAAGCAAGAAATGCAAGTGTGATGATTGGTGTGCTGTAAAATTATGTTTTACATGACTTGGTTATAGGTATAAAATTGTGACTACAAATTTTTTTATTAAAATTTTCTTATAGTTAAATTTATTGTAACCGTCAACTATATACTGCATATATTTTAAAATAAAATAGATTATGTATATGTAAAATAATTACGAATTTCTTTCAAATATGGCTCACAATTTAAAATCTAACACAAAATTAATCCATGATTTTTTTTCTGGAATTTTGATTTATCCTATTTATCCTAGAAGTTCTGATTATTACGAAAATGTATTTTTTTTTTTTTTTTTTTTGAAATTAGTGTTTTACTCCATTCTCATCTTCATCAAGTATTGACGAAAATGTCATTGTCATCAATTCACCTAACCACCACGAACAACCACCATGAAGTTCTGAATACATCTAAAAATCAATATTCACTCATCCATTGTCATTTCTTATGCACACAAACTACATCTATCCCAATTTCTCTCTATATTCATCCAAAAAACCATTTTTAATTAAAGTTTGTAAGGTTCATATAGCCCTTCAAGCTAATGCTTCTTGGTCTTTAACGATTGGGTTGTTTTCGTGGTGAAATTATGTGTGTTTGGAGAAGCTAAGCAAGTTATCTCATTGGTTCAAAGTATAGAAACTGATTTTTTTTCCAGATCTGTTTGTGAAGAAGACTTTCGTGGAAATCTAAGAAGACTTCCACGGAAGTCTTTTCGTCAATTCATATGTTAGTTTCTCTGGAGGTTTTCCAACTTTCACTACAAGAAAACTGGAATATTTCGAGGGTCATTTTCCTCAGAATGTCGTCGGAATAGACGTATTCCGACGACATTCCGAGGAAAATGGTCGTCGGAAAAAAACATTTCCCCGGAATTTCGTCAGAGACACCGACGAAATTCCGAGGACTTCCGATGGACCAATAATCCGACGAAATTCCGAGGGAGGTCTGTCCATCGGATTATCTCTACGAATTCTTCGTCGGACATAATCGTCAGAAGATGTCCGACGGAAAATTCGTCAGAATATTCCGACGGATGGTTCCTCGGGATATTCCGATGGACATCGCTGTCGGAATGTCCATCGGAATATTCCGAGGAACCAACCGTTGGAATATTCCGAGGAAACGTTCGTCGGAATATTCCGAGGGATGTTCTTCCTCGGAAATTCCTATTTTTTTAGAAAAATAATAATAAATAATAATTAATTATTTTTAATAAATATTTATAAAATAATTATTTGAAAATATAAGACTAAAATTGACGAAAAACATATTATAATATTTTAAGTTTTAAAAGTAGAAATACAAATTTTTTAAAAACAAATAAAAAACCGATTAGAACTCCTGCGGGAACAGACATTGCATCATATCCAACAACTCCTGGTTCTTCTTCTTCGTTTCCTCCACTTCATTTTGCTGATCTGCCATCCTAGCAAGTATGGTCTCGTTCTGGGTAAGAATTGTGGCATTCTGGTTCTCCAATGCTATGATGCGGTCATCCTTGTTTTGTAGCTGCTCCATAATTGCCGGATCAACAAAAGCCGGTTCTAAAGTAGAAGGAACTGACTTGGAGCGACGAGCCAACCCGAACAAACGGCCTTTCTTCTTAGGAACCGCCTAAAAAAAACATTAAATTAAAACAGTGAAAAAACATTAAATTAAAAAAAACATTAAATTAAAATAAAGATCTTACCGACTCAACTAGTTCGTTGATTCGAACTCGAGAAAGGCTGGGAGAAGCTGCATTAGTGTCGTCGTCGTCAGACTGAAGCTGAGAGAGGCGTTGGATCTCTTCCTCCTTCTGGGTTTCGACCAAGTCGACCACCTCCCTCACAACGGCATCCGAAATCTCTCCAGTCTACTTGTCGGTATACACCTCCTTCATTAGCACGAGGGAGTCAACCGACTCACCATCATTCTGTTCCGCCTGGAAAAAAAAAGATTTGTTAATAAAAAGCATTAAAAATTGAAATTAAAATTTAAAAATTGAAATTAAAATTTAGAAAACGAAATAGGTAAAGAAAATCAGTCGACTTACTAGTTTATCCCCAAGAGTTGACATACTGCAAGCACCCAAGTTGTTCTTGTACCGACTCTTTCCGCCACGGTCGCTGTTGCGGTTGCTGGAATTGGCGTTAGAGGTTCCTTGCGTCTCTGTCTTCCTCCAATGTTCTTGCAACTCGAGCCACACTGTGTCGTTCATCAATTTCGGTTTTTTGCCCTTCTTCCACTTTTGCTTCCACTCATAAACCTGCTTCTCATAATTCTCCATAACTTTATGGGTGAAGGCATTTTCGAAAAAGGCCATATGGAGGGGATTCCAGTTGAACTCTTGCTGAAAAAAACACAATTAGTAGAAATTTAAGTCAAAGATTAAAAATATAACTTTAAAAATTGTAAAATGCATACTGCAAACTGACGGAACCACATCTCCTGATCCTCGAGGGGGAAGGAGGTGTAGGTAGGATAACCCTTTTTGAGCGCCGAGTACATCATCCGATTGATGAAGGAACTTATCCCGTTCTGCGATCGATCAAACCTAAAAAGAAAAAATTAAGAATCAAGCAACATATAATGAAAAAAACACAAAATTTTTTAAAAATTTTTTACCATGTTTGGTGTGGGCCCGATGGATGCGGAGTGAGAGTGAGAAGATGCTCTCGACTAGGCTGTTGAACCAATTGTTCAACAGTCATGGTACCCGGAATGACCGGAGGAGCTGGAGCTGGAAAATCCCGACATATTGGTTCTGCGAATATGCAGAACCACGAGAGGTGCCCGTCGAACCACCACGAGAACCACCCCGAGAAACACCTCGACCTCGTGGTGTGTGGCGGCGAGGTCTCGCCTGGCTATCGCTACCCGACCTGCAAAAATCTAAAAAAATTAATTTATTTTAACAAAAATAAAAAAAGAAATAAAATATCTTTTACAAATAGTTAAATAAATCTAAAAATAGTTTTACTAAATATAAAAATCTTTTATAAATCCAGAAAAGTTTTAATAAATACAAAAATAGTTTTAATAAATACAAAAATAGTTTTAATAAAAAAAATAGTTTTTATAAATCCACAAAA